TGATCTATTTCTTACGGTTTATTATTATTGGTAGATATTCTTCATGATATGGATGTTTTGGTAGTAATGTTTCTAGTAATTCTAAGCCTTGTCTTCTGGCTTGTTGTTGTTCTTGGAACATTCATCCTTCTTCGTCTTCTATGTCATACATTTTATCTAGGTTTTCTAGAGATACTCTAATAGTTTCCTATATTTTGCTTGATATTGTGCTTGTAATGGTTCACTTTCACATTGTTCCATTTGTCTGGCGAATCTTTCTATTAAGATTCATTGTTCATATTCTTGCATTGCTTCAAAATCTTTTCTGTCCAAGTTTAGTGCTTGGTTAGTTACATATCCATATTCTTTTTCTAGGTCTTTTACTAGATCTCTATTTTTTCAAAGAATAGCATCTTTTGTTTCTGTTAATGTGAATATTGTTTTATATAGATAAGCTTTTTGTCTTCAGCTGTTTCTGCTTCTAATATTTTTCTATTTATGACTCTTTCAATTTCTTGAATATGTTCATCAGTTTGTTTTCTCATTAATTGGGAAACATATTTATAATTTGTTTCCATACTATCTAATCGTTGTTTTAGTTGTTTTAATCCTGTTCTAATTCTTGGATCTTCTTGTTCCTTTTCTAATTGTAAGATTCGATCTAATTGTGACAATTGTGTCTTAATGAATTTTTCTATTTTTGGTGTTTTGACTTTGCTTTCTTCTTGTTGATTAAAGGTAATTTTTAAGCTTTTAGCTTTTTCTTTCTTATCTTTTTTAGTTCTGTATTTTTCTATTACTTGTTCTCTAAATTGATTTATTTCTCTTTGTGCGGCTTCCAAATAGAGTTGATTCAGTTTCTTTTCTTGTTTATTTTGTGGCGCTTCATGTTCTGCTGTAACCGTCATTTGTTGTACTTGTTCTGCAAGTAATGTTACTTCTGGGTCATCAAATTTCATTCCCAATAGAATTGTTATTCCTGATGATTCTGGTCTTTTATATTAATTTTGTGTTCTTTTAATTCTTGATCTTTTTCTTTAGACTATTCTTCTTGAAGTATTTCTTCTTGAAATGTGTCTCCTGCCCATTCTTTTAATTTAGAGATTTCATGTATTTGTGCTATTTGATTAGCTATTTCATTTGATGGTATCTCTACTACCGCAGAATAGACCTCTTTATGCTGTATAATTATTTGGTATACTTCTTGTTGTATACTTGCTTGTGGATCCAATAGATGTCATGTTTGTCTATTCCTCTGCCAAATATCACTTCGGCAGGCTGTTATTCATATGCACTAGCATGATTTCTTGTCTGTACATTCTTAGTATGTTTGATATTCATCGATTCTCTTGCCTTGCCCTGCAGCATACCAGTGCTGCATATCGAAGCATATGCCTATTCGCTTCTTTAGTCTTGCCTTATCTTTATATCTTAAC